GTGTTAAATGTTGAACTCGAAGCTGAAGAGGAGAAATTAGAAAAAATAGCCGAGAAGCCAGCGAATTCATTTGGCTTATTTTCCAAGGAATTCCTTCGACGTCATGGCCTTCACTTGTTAGGCACCACTACAACATGGTTCCTGCTGGACATAGCTTTTTACAGCAACAATCTTTTTCAGAAGGACATATTTAGCGCAATTGAATGGATCCCCCATGCCGAAAAAATGAATGCTGTGCAGGAAGTATATCGTATTGCAAAAGCACAGACTCTAATCGCTCTTTGTAGTACAGTCCCGGGATACTGGTTTACGGTAGCTTTCATTGATATAATCGGAAGATTTGCCATACAACTTATGGGATTCTTCTTCATGACTGTCTTCATGTTTGCACTAGCTATCCCTTATAATCACTGGACCCACGATGAGAATAAAATTGGCTTTGTGGTCATGTATTCACTTACATTTTTCTTCTCCAACTTCGGCCCGAATGCTACCACATTCGTCGTCCCAGCAGAAATCTTCCCAGCCCGGCTAAGATCAACCTGCCACGGCATATCTGCCGCTGCCGGAAAGGCTGGCGCTATTGTAGGAGCATTTGGTTTCTTGTATGCATCACAGCCTAAGGAACCAAGCAAGAGAGATGCTGGATATCCAGCCGGTATTGGCATAAGATATACGCTCATTGTCCTTGGCTGCGTAAACGCGTTGGGAATGCTATTTACTTTCTTAGTGCCGGAACCGAAAGGAAAATCACTGGAGGAGGCATCAGGTGAGAATGAACTGGATGCTGAAGAGTTAACAGATCAGATTGCTCCTTCCCAAAGGACTGTACCAGTTTAATAATATCATTAAATTTCTAGAGTGAAACCCTTAAATAATTTGCATTCCCAGTTTGAAGACTTTAAACCATGTATTTACTCCATTTGCATTCTTGTTTTTGTATTGTGGATGTAATTTAATGGCGTTTTGGAAGCATTGTACTTGTACCTCAATAAAGAAAGAAACAGTTCACAAAAAACTATCATTCTTTCGTGTTATTATCTTCTTCCTTGCTCTTTAATTACCCTATCTCTCATCCTCCACTAATTCCTCCACTTACTCATTCTAAGCAATTGAAATTTCTAAGATCTAATACTCTTGTTCTTATTTTTATTTTACCACATTTTGATGACATCCCTTTACTAACAAAATTGAGGCAATAAAAAATGTGCAAATGTACAGCAAGGATGACTGAGACAAGGATCCAGATCGGACGTCCTCTTCGTCAAAGTTAAAATTTAATTTTGTTATTTTATTTTATATATCTATGATTTTATTTTTATTTTTTTATTATTTATTATTTTTTATTTTACTATGACTTGATAACTATTTGTAGAATAAGTGGGGGACTTGAGAGAATTATGACTGTAGTTCAATCAGTTTCCATTTTAAAACCAGTAATGGACAGTGTTTGGAATTTCACTGTTCTCCATGTTTTGTTCAATTTTCAATACTTACGGATTGAGACGATGAATGTTTGAGTGTTAATCATCTTCCATTATATTTTCACTGCATCACAAATTTACAGTAGCATAATATTATTCTTGAGAATTAGAAACCCTAATTCTATTTCATAGAAGGCAATTAATTGGCAAAAAATAAACAATCACAAAAATGAAAGATTTATAGAGGTTTGTTTTAATGTTAGATTACATCCTATTCCACAGCAGCAATAATTCACTATGATGAAAAAATGTTTACCAAGAGATAATTGCATACATATATTCTCTAACCTCTTTTTCTCTCTCTGTTTGATGATAATTATAAAGCATAATCACGTCACCCTATTTATAAGATTATTTAGGACAAAATCGAATTTTACGAGGACTCGAATTCCTTAACAGAATTTTACAAGAATACAGTCCTTAGATTAAATTTTGGTCCGGGAGGCGAAATACCTCAAGATGGGGCCTCCTGTGATTGTGAAACGATAATCCTCCAAACAGCCTGCACAGTACTCCATCTATAATTTACAGTTCAAACCGCGTTATGTGGGCTACCACTACTGAAAAAGACCAAAAATCTAAGAAAGAAATAGACAAAAAGACCTAGACTTTGTCAATTTGATTTAGTTAATAATTCCTCCATTTGTTTGCTATTTACCCATCAATTCTGTCATTTTGTTCTTTAATGCAATGTTTGTGTCTCTTTGTCTTGAAAGAAACTTCTCCGTGTTGTGCCGGATTAAAACAGCTGCATTACTACTATACCGCGTTTAATGATAGAAACTTTGTCCGAAATTATGATACTTATACATAAAAATGGTACATAAGGTATGACATAAAATGATGTAGAGGGAAAAAATTGGATAAAACGGTTGATTGTATTTTAAAACTCACAAATGATAAAATGACATGTGGCATTATATAATCTACTATGTAAAACTTGATATATAGCAATGTTCAACTTTGTCCGACTTACCATGTGTTCACGTCCCATCTAATGGCGATGTGAACAATGAGTAGGTTTGAGCAATAATGCCAAATTCAAATGAAACATGAATTTAGCACTGTTTGGTTCTCATTATTTCTTCATTAAAATGAAAAATATGATCGTTATCCATTATATCGAGTCACCAAATTTGAATTTCTATCTCTTGTATGGAATTCGTAACGACTATATTTTTCATTCTCATTCTTCCAAAAATGAGAAACAAACGAAGGCTTAATCTATTTACATAAGTTTGATCTGAACTAGATTTTTGCATGCCTGTATCAAAGTTAATGCAGCAAACATGGCTTAGGTTTGGAGTAGGAAGTGTCAAGCGAACCATAGAACAAAGTATGAAGTTCAACATGAATATTAGGCTCGGACATGAGAGGCTATATTAACATCTCATCCACACATGAAGATAATGAGTTAGACGTGTAAGATGGATCGGCACATGATCACAAGGCTGTGTTAGTATTGCGCCCGAAATTCACTAGTTGTGAGGAATATATATTTTTTATTATCAAAGCATTTATTATCGTTTAATGACATCTTATTTATTTATTTAATTGATTAAATAATCTTGTGTGAAGAAACAAGTACTAGTGACATGTTAATGACACAGAGTTGTGATAATGAGATACGTGTTATTTTATTCTTGATTTATTATTGATCATATGCACTAATTAAACACAAATGTCATTAATAATGAATATATACCGGGATATATTTCGATTTTTATTTTTTTTAAACATTGTTAATATCACAATTTAAGGTGTGGAGACACTTGAAGTCAACATGTGAACGCTTGTTATCTCAACAAGTACTTTGGATAATTCATGACTCGCGATAGAGATTCGGCATGAATAATTATGTTAATATTTATCTTTTAGTGAAAGTCGTGAAAATGATCATTTGATTTGAGATCATCATGGAATCTTATGTTAATAATCAAACTTGATGGTGTTGGATGAAACTCTATTTTAGGGTTGCTAATATTACACTAATTGGGTACAACTTGAATCACATGAAAATTGATTAATGATGAGATGGTATTTATCACTCTAGAACCGTAAGACATTATATCTTGTCATTCACAAACTTAAGAATTGATACATTAATTCCTTTACCAAGGTAGAGTTGTGATTGAAAAATGGTTTACAAATATGACCTCAGTTTATTGAATACTTGAAGTGATGAGTGAAATAAGATTGACACATTTCATATCCCGTAGTCAATGAGGATTTAGATGACACTATACCAAATGACTTGTCCCATAACGTGGGTCGCATTGACACATTTCAAGGACCTTTAATATGAATGAATGATTTAATAAACTATTATTATTATTTTTTATTATTAATTTATTATTATTATGATTATTTAAAAGAACAGAACCATCACTAGCCCTGTGTGTTTTTTAGGCTCCACCAAATTAAGACAAAAAAGCGGGGG